TCCTTAGAAGTTTCTGCCCCCAATCGTAAGCAACACTTCCATTTCTGCTTGGGGAGCTCCGAGGCAGAGCTGGCAGAAGTCCATGCAGATCACACCCTGATACACACCTCACCCTGCTCCTCCTCTCTCAGGTGTCAGTTCCAGGAAATCCCCCAAGGAGTCAGATCCCCTTTAGAAAAAACTCTCAAGAGTAGCAAGGGAACCAGATTCAGGGTGCCAGACAAATTCTAACAGAGAACTGCGGTTGTACCAGCCTCCAAGTCCCCGGTTGCTATCAGTGAACTCCACCTGCCTGCACACCGACAGGCAGGCAGGCAGGCAGGCAGACAAGGTGTTTCATCCTCAGCAAAGCTGTCATGAGACCAGAAGAAAAACATTCAATTACATTTAATTAAGGGCTATTCCTAGTTTGAGATCTGTTTTCCAGTCTGGGGAAAAAAAACAATAAGATATAAAAGAGATAAAAACAGTAACCCTTTAAGTTACCACAGCTCAGCTCCAAAATAACTAGCCAGGAAGGACAGATAAACTCACAAAGCCTATTAAGAACAGAAAAAGGGAATCTGTATTGCTTTAAATTAGATTGCTCACTTGCCAGCCATTATAGACTTCCAACCTCTAATCCCCACCTGTCTGCCCACCCACCTTCACCCTCCCATTCATGTCAATCAATGTGTCAAAACAAGGCCAGGGCCGGCTGTCTAGGACACACTCAATAGGAAGCTTTGCTGCATGGCATGATCTTAAGCTATAGCTAGAAAAGGACCCTAGGGAGAACATTATACATAATAGAATCAAATGTACAAAATGTTCCTGATACATTAATTTGTCATTTCATTGAAAATAGCAAATTGTCACCGAATTTCTAATTTGGAAAGCTAAAGTTCTGCTTTGCATAATGGATAAAGAGTACAATGTAGATTATTACTCATAAAAAATGAATATAATCATGTGACTGAAATCAGTTTATAGCTCTGCAGCTGAAATAGCATCCAAGAAAGCAATTTCCTAGTGGAAATGCCTGATGGTTTACCAGGTTCTTCTACGATGAAAGCTTGAACAGTGACTTTCTAAAAAATCTGGCATTAAGGGGCAGGTAATTAGCCTTGTAGATAAGCAGTTCATGTCCCAAATCAGAGTACCTGCGTTTGTTCCTGGGCTCTGATCCTGATCCCAGCTTCCTCACAATGCAGACTCAATTTTTAAATCTGGATTTCAAAACTGACGTATTTTAAACTTACAGATAGCAAAAACAGTAAATCATGCTCATTTTTATTTAAAAATGTTTCTTAAATAATCCAAACTTCTGTTCTTATTTATAACTTGACTGAAGAAAAATTACTTTCACACATCACACACGAAAAAAAAATCAACAAAACATTACTTAGAATTAGTATCTCATAGTTTCCTGCTAAACTGTTGAGTTTTTTCAAAAAGGTTGCTTTCCTTTTCTGTTACTGAATTTTCAAAAAAGAAAAATGAGAGGAGTCAAAAAAAAGTCTCACACTCCTGCAGCTTAGAAACAACTGTACTTCAGACTAAATCTGTGAACGTTCAGTTTTTATGAAGACACCTTTGTGGTAAACAGATTACTGCTGGAGACAGCTACATCTCTACTGGAGTGCCTGGTTTGAGTCCTGGCTACTCTGAGCTTTGGGTCCAGCTTCCTGCCGATGTGCCTGGGAAGCAGCAGATCATGTCCAAAGTTCGTGCACGCCTTCCACTTGCATACCAGAAGGAAGTGCGAGTTCCAACACAGATGAGTCACCAGAACAGCCTGTCTGGTTGGAGACACCTGAGCAGATGCACAAGGCAGGGACTGAGTGTGCCACGAGGGTACCTGGAGAATGGAGTTTCTGGAGGTTTTGAGCCCCTGGATGCCTTTGTGCCCACATCTACCTGATCCCTAACCTCTATTCACATGCTTCGCCCAGAATCTCCATAATGATGACTCCTGGTCAGCTCTTGGTTTGGAGAGCTGAATGCAGTAATAACATTCAAGTTATTTTAGGCTTCTATGATGTAATTACAATGTTTTACCTCAGCAGTGCTGGGTTAATGCTGGTACTGTTTTATTCGGTATGCAACAGTAACCATCAAGAAACTCCACAATAAAAATAAATAAATAAATCTTTAAAAAAAAAAGTCAAAAGAAAAAAAAAAGGAAATCTGACTTCCAATTAATTACTTCTGATCACTGTCCTGACTGACACGCTAGGAGCAAGCTACTCACTCATCTCTCGGTCCAATTTTACATTTCTGCAATCATGTGGCTGGACTTCACTGGAAACTGCTTGGGCATCGTTTTGATTCTGACAGATTCCAGGAACCTTGGTGAATGGCCACAGACTTCGGTGAGAAACGTTAGTCAAGGCAAGCAGGACTGTAAAGATTCTTCTAAATCACAGACCACACAACCCCTTCTCCCTGGGGAACAGCAGGCAGCCTACAAGCTCTGCATAAGGAACACATCCTTGAGCAGCTGAACCCTATGGAGTTTGTTATCTTGGCTTCTTTCGGAGACCTGGAAGAGTTCACCTGGTCCTACAAAGGGGTCTACCAGGTCCTGCTGTTGGCTCTCTCCACCGGGGACCACTCCCTTTCCAATCTGAGCAGAATGGGCTCACAAACGCGCTCTCTCGGGTTCCAAATTGCACTCAGTTTTGCTCCCTGCCATCTGCCTCCAGCTCCCACATACATATTTTATGATTTCTGGCACATTTCTGACATCATCTGACATCCTGCAATGCATCCCTCGCTGCCTATATTATTTCTATGTTTGGTTAAGAACGTTCCTGAGCAAGGAATGTGTCCTTGGGCTGTACTTTATTTCTGCTAAAAGTGAACTTCACCTGGAGCTGGGCAAGGACCCTATCCATGGTGCCAGCTGTTTCAACTTTTGAAGCCAGAAAACTCAGGGGACTCAGAACTAGATGCAAAGACGTTCTATCAAGGGGTTGCTTAAATCTATCACTAATCAAAATGAAGCATCATTTTGGAAATTTCTGATCCTTACCTAGTTCTAATAATTGTCACAATCATGCCTTGTGGTTTAATAAATTTCAGCTAAAACCAAACTGACTTGGGAATCACATTAGTTGTTTTACTTTGCACTTGATGGTTACTGCTGCATATCGAATAAAACAGTACCAGCATTAACCCAGCACTGCTGAGGTAAAACATTGTAACTTCATCATAGAAGCCTAAAATAACTTAAATGTTCTTACTCCAATCACCTCTCCAAACCAAGAGCTCCAGAAACTACATTTGCCCAGCTGAGGACATCAAAGCAAGAGCGTGATTCTGAGTTCTTGGTCCAAATCCCGCATTTTACACCAGAGGATCTCAATCTGAGGTGGGGTGCTTTATCTGGTTTTCACTACCACTCACTGAAAAAAGTTACCTTGCTAGTCCACACTGAAACATAGTTTGCAATTTTTAGCATAATATCTAACATTAAATAGAAAAACAAAACAAAAAAGAGTAACATGGCAGATAGGCAATAAAATGTAGAGTTCCAGTTCTGTCTTGAAATACTACCTGCTCACAACATTAGCCACGCAATTACCTTGTCTTTAACCCAAGGACTTGATTCAAGGATGCCTGGGTTTCATGCTATAAAGCATTCATCCTGTAGCCAATAAAATGTGATTGGAAAACTGGAGAATGCAAGTGGGTAGTGAAACCAAAAGCAGTGTTAGTAAGGAGCATGTCTACATAAATCTATTCATGAAGCAGCACAGCCCTCCAAACACAGGGAGTGCAGCTTTAAGGAGAAAAGCTACAAAGGGCAGGTATGACTAAGCAACCACAAATAACCACAAAAAACACCAAAAAGAGTCAGGAGCCTGTAAGGACCAGAACATGCCTGCACACAGAGATAAACTGGAGTTTCCCACATATTGTTCCTACTCCAAGCAGCAGTCTTTCTACGATACTGTTGACTTCTCAAATACAAAGCTTCAGTGGCTTATAAGCATGTTCAAGCAATATTTTTTTTCTGTCCTCTACTCCACCCACTTAAATGAAACAAATTTTGGGACAAGCTGGCTGAGCTACTGGGCAGGCAGTTGGCCACACCAAACTTCAAACAAACCAATATTGCTCTTTTTGACATACCTGCTATGTCTCTCACAAGCCTCATAAGCCTATAGTTTAAGCTAACAGACCAAGTCTCAATCACCCAAAACACTTACTGGGCTGCTAAGTAGCCCACTGAATTTTTCCTTAAAGTCTGATTTCTCCAGCTATCTTACTACTTTAAATAATAATAATAAAAAAGTTTTTTTCCCTAAAAGATTCAAGAACCATCACCTGACAGAAGAGCTAAAAATCAATTAAAGCTCACAAATTATATGTTGGCCAAGATGAAATTTATCGAGCATGACACAGGACACACAAACATGCTCACACAGACTTAGGAATCTCAGAGCACTTCAGTCAAAATTCCATCAGTCACACAACGCAGGCTCAACAGGACAAACCCGGTTTACCAATCTCTGTGCTTAGGTGTGGAAAGTCAAGAAATGTACTTGGTGGCCCGAAGGGAGGTGAGAAAGCAAATCCCCACTGAAACTTGTTTCATTCGGGAGAGGTCTAGTTTTAGCACCAAAAAAGCATCCAGTGTAAAATATAACCTGGCTGAAAGTCCCAAACCGAGAGAAACCCGAACTAAGGAAACGGGTGGGGTGGAAGAGAGGACCAAGCTCGAGAACCACCCCCTCCCCAAATTCCTGAGCCACACAATAGGTGTGGGTAGGGGCTCCCCTCGCACGCGCAGCATGGGCAGGTGGGTGAGCACAGGGTCCCCCCACCCACTTTTCCTCCCTCTCTTGCTCATTGTTGTCCAAGTGTGATGGAGCACCTGGCCGCCTCGGGCTCCAGCGGGTGGACGCGTCGCGTGCCGGGACGCGCAGGGGCCAGCAGGGCTCGCTGCCCGGTGGACCCGCCACCCCGGCGCCCCGCGCCCCCGGCCGGCTGCCGACCCCCGCAGTGCTCACCGCCACGAAGCCCGAGGAAGAGGCGACGAACACGCGGATAACCATCCTCTCTCTGCTCCCGGGACGGATCGTCTGCCCTGCGGGATCCCGGCCGGCAAGGACGCAGGAGGCTGAATTTGACTTAAGCCGCCACCGCTGCCACCACCGCCGCCACCACCGCCACCACAGCCCACACTGCCGCTGCCGTCGGGGAAGTTCGCCGGGACCTGGCTCCCTCCCGCCGGGTCCTCAGATAAAAGCCCAGCACCGCCCGGCCTCTGGCTGGAGCGCGGGGAGGGGAGGAGGGAGCCGGCTGCGGAGCGTGATGGGAGTTGTAGTTCCCAAGTCTCCCCGGCGCGCTCGGTAGACCGAGTTCCGCCCACCCGCAGCCACCTCTCGACCGCCGGTGGATGCCCTCGGTGCGCACCGCTGTGTGGAGGGAACCCGCGAGCCGGGAAGGAGCTGTAAGTCGGGGTGGCCAGAATCGCGGCCAGGCGAGCCAAAAGCCAAGGAGGCAAAAGGGCGAAGTCCATGCGTGGGTTCTGTACTGCGGCTTGCTGGTTTAGAGCATCCCCACCCTGAAACGCCCAAAGACGCTGAGGTGCCGCGGGACTGGAGGCCGCGTGCGCCCTCAGGTTGGGTCCAGCCGGTCAGGGTGTCCAGAGCCGGTGGGCGCTGCGAGGCCGGACTCGCCTGTTTGCCCATCCCCTCGGGAGACTGCAAAGGGGTGATTCTGTGAAGTTAATGAGCGGGTTTCTTTGCTTCTGGGGACGCTGAAAATTAGAAACTCAGACGAGAGAATAGCTGGTATTTTATTTTTCGTAGCAAAACTGTAACTGTAGTCAAAAATAAACAAATAAATACCCAGGGAAACGAGAATCCTTCTATCATCGCTGAGAATCAGAACCCTAGCCCCCCCCCCCCCCCGCCACCCCTTACCAGACACAATGACTTCGTTGCTCTGCACCTAACACTAACAGTGGAGCCAACTCTGAGGGCTTTTCGGAACTGCTACGAATTCCAGCGGTCTCCCTGGGGGATGCTGTTAAATAAGAAGGCTTTTCTGCAGTTCCTAATAGTCTAGGAATAGTTCTATAGCTAGTGTTTTGTGACTGATAGAGCCCAATCCTTTCTCAGTCAAGTAGAAAAACACAAACAAACAAACAAACAGTTTGCCTGTAGTGCTGTATTTGCATTTTTTATTCCAGGAGGGGGTTCCACAGCCTCCTGGGGAAATCTGATAATTAATAGTAGTTCAAAGAAAAAAAAAAGAATTGGATGTCAAGATCCCTGGATCTTTGGGAAGTTTTTTGCACAACTGCTTGTCATTTGGGGTTTTTTTTTTTGAAAGCTTTTTTTGAAAGTTTTTAGAATTTAAAGTTTCTAACTTTGCCTATTGCTTAAGCTAATTCTGTGTATTGGTTTATCAATATAGTGTACTAACAGAAGATTACACTCCTGATGGGAATTTATTCTTTTTTAATATTCAAAAGGTTTAAATAGGAAGGTACTTCAAAAAGTAGGTAGCAGATGGAATTAAGAGATTATTTTATTCCAAAAATATCACTTTGTAAATGTCTTTCGAGTTTTGCTGCCATAATTATCAAAATGTATGTCTATAAATTATTAAGTATCTAGCCTAAGAACTGATAGCAGTTCTCCGGTGTAAGTGCAAGCCTTGCTTTTCTTCGCTGTAGCATTACTTGACTATGAAGACATATGTTCATAAAATTGGAGCTGAGAGCCTGGTCTGGGAAAGGTACCAGAAGAGAGAAAAAGTTGAGCAAACCATGTGAAAAGAGACATGTACAAAAATAGTGACAGAACAAGACACACTGTGGCATGGCAATACAGTGTTGTGTGGAGATAAAGAAAAAGAAGGAAGAGACGGCTTTTGATAAGGAGATTTTAAAGGAGAATAATGTCCCTACCAGCAGACAGGGAGGCTGCAGGGTGTGAGGAGGCTGGCAAAGTGCTCATTGCCTCAGAAAGGGAGAGGGGAGCTAGTAGAACCTGGCTAAAATACTGCAATCGGGGATTCTTTCTGAGTTGTCAGCTCAGCTCCTTGCACTTTTCTGGCATCTGTTGCTCAGCTATGATCCTTAAAGTGGTAGGTCGGATACCTACAAAGCCATATTCATGTAACAGCTGATTGGGAAGCTTCCCTGTCCTAAGGGTTTGAAATTGGAAGTGGGCATGCAAGAAAGCTTGAATTTGTGGCTTGGATGCTCAGAACTTCCAAAAGGCAGGTGTCAGCATGAAAGCTGGAGCTGTTCAGAATGGAAAGAGAAATCAACAAAGTAGATATGGGGAGGGTGCAGAGATAAGTTTCAAAGAGTCCTAACAGTTCTTAAATCCCAGTCTCTAATCTGAGATGCGTATCAAATTCAGCAGCAAGTTTTACTGAGACATGTTCTTTTTTGTATGCTTAGTGTTAGATGGACCGAGACCACTTGATTCTTAGTATCTGGCTATGTACAGAAAGACTGCCAGTTCCTGTTTATGGTTCAATCACAGGGTTGAAAACCCTGTAACATCCTTTATCATATCAATTTTCTCATCTTGTCAGAACCAACTTAAATGGGTAGAAGTAAAATGCCTGGATAACACTTGGTCTTTCTTACATCTGGTTCTAGTATTTTATAGCAGACTCCTCACCCTTTGTGTATGTGTGTATAAGGGACTGACAAGGACCTTGTATAATCTGCTGAAGTCTGTGGAAACTCTCAAAATTTTTTTCTAAATATACAAAATAAAAGACTCAGAATTATAAAGGAAGCCATGCTACAAAAGTTATTCAAATATTAAGTGTTTGATACGGTTATACATGCTGCCTTATTAATGCAAATAAGTACTAAAAGATAGTGGTCATTGGGCTTAACACTAAGATGGCTGTGTCCCACATCAGAGTGCTGGACTTTGCAAATGTGGCCTAGCTCCTGACTCAACTCATTGGCAGGTGATTGCATTTCCGCTTCCCAGGTCTGGGGTTCAGCCGGGCCCAGCCTTGGCTGTTGCAGGCATTTGGGGAAAACTCTCAAATTAAAAAGAAAAATGTTTCGGTATTTGCAAAAATGGGAAAATATTAAAATACTTCTGATTTTTACCGGCAACAAATTAACAAGTGTGCCTTCTCTGTAATGCTTTTTCACAATTGAAGAAATTGGTAAGCTTTAGCTAGTGTTTAGTGAAAACATAGAGACATAAATTGTTTTCTCATTCAAACTCACAAACCATCTAGGTTCCATCTGTAAGTCCCTTTAGACAGGGTGTCAGGGTAAAGGAGGAATAAGATCCAAGAAGCCTAGGCTAAGAAATCACGGTGTCCGACTGGATGCAACCTGCGGAAACTTAACATTTTGCTAAAACAACAGTTTAGAAAGAAATGAGAGGAAACCCTGAAAAGTCCCATGTAGAATTCCTAAATTAATGAATTGGAATAAGAACAAGGAACCTAAGAGTATGGAGGAGCAATCAGAACAGCCTCAAACCGAACAGTTACAGTGTGACAGAAACCAAGGAAAGAGTGTTTAAGTTTTAGAACTTAGAGAACAGCTAAGGAATAACAAATAGCTAAAGGAATTGGAAACTACCAAATACCCAACAGTTAGTGGAAACTCCTAGTCAGTCTGGTTACTATGTTTGTGCCACATCTGTGTCCTTGCCCCAGTAACGCCTACTGAAGCTTGAAAATAATTTGACAAATATGACTAGGACTAAATATACATGCTAGCCCATTGCATTCCTCTTTCAGGATCTTCCATTGAGAAAAGTGAAAGATCAAGACAGCAGCAGAGGGCAAAGACGGAGGCTGGGGCCAGAGGATGAGAAAGGGGTCTGGATCTCTATTGCTTTCTCATGTGCAGTAGCAAGGGGTTTGATTGAAAGTGGAACCTGTAGGGCCCGGCGCGGTGGCGCAAGTGGCGCAAGTGGTTAAGGTCCTCACCTAGCACGCCCGGGATCCCATATGGGCGCCGGTTCTAATCCCGGCAGCCCTGCTTCCCTTCCAGCTCCCTGCCTGTGGCCTGGGAAAGCAGTCTAGGACGGCCCAAAGCTTTGGGACCCTGCACCCGCGTGGGAGACCCGGAAGAGGCTCCTGGCTTTGGACCGGCATAGTATCGGCCCGTCGCGCTCACTTGGGGAGTGAATCATCGGACGGAAGATCTTCCTCTCTGTCAGTGTTCAGGTATCCAGGGTGCCGCAGTTCCTGCCCTTCAGAGGCTGTTTCGTGCATCCTCTCTTCCATATTGCACAATTTCAATTGAGTCTGTTTTCCCAGCAGTTGTAAAATATTCACCCGTGAAAAGCATGGATAGCAAATCATGGTCCTTTGATGGTCAGCCAAGTGCCATGGAAGTAAAGTAGACGAGAAGGTTCGCAACGCTCATATGTGAATGGACTTCAGAATGTTCTTGGAAACATGGAATTAAAAGTCAGTTTTGGCATGAAATTTGAAATCCATGCATAGAAGAATCTTTAAAACACTCATGAATAATGCATATGAGAAAAAACTGTTCATGGATTTCAAAAGGATTTTGCAGCATAATAAATATGTCTTTCAATTTCATGTTTCCACAAACCTCTGGAGATTTTGTTTGTTTTTAGAAATTTACTCTCCAAGTTCACTCCCTTGTGACAGCAACAAGCGGGGCTGGGGCAGACTAAAGTCCGAAGCTAAGAACTCCATGCCAGAGTGGCAGGGACCCAAGGATGTGACTGTCTTCCGCTGCTCTTGCAGGCACAATAGCAAGGAGCTGGATCAGAAATAGAGCATCCTGGACTCGAACGAACGCTGTAATTTGGGATACCAGCATCACAAATAATGGTTAGCCTGCTGAATACCAATGCCAGTCCCCTCCATGAACCTTTTAATAAAGGATCCTTGTACTTTGTATGAGGGATGAAAGCTGTTGAAAACTGGATGGTGTGCCTCATTCAGATGTTTGAAACACTTGTCAATAAATGCTTGTTAATTTTTAAATACTGAGATTCCTAAATCACAGCCACTTGCAGGTACTAGTTCTCTAGGTTTCTTTCTCTCATGTAATTCATTGAGACTAGAGTTTGATGCCCAATAAACTCCTAAGAAGCCCGAGCTTGTACTGGGGGGATGGCTGAGCATCACTTCAGAACACCACAGCAGAGAGCAGAGGAGGCAGCCCAGTGGGGGTAGTTGGAGAACCTGGCTCCTGAAGTGGTCCTCACCACAGCATCTGCCCAGATTTA